CGCCGAAAAGGATCATGTCAAATCGGCTGTTGATGACATGCTAGCCGCCGATATCATTTCCCCTTCCAACAGCCCGTGGGGCGCGCCGATCGTTTTGGTGAAAAAACATGACGGCTCACTGAGATTTTGTGTCGACTTTCGGCGTCTCAACAAAATCTCTGTGGCAGATGCGTACCCGCTTCCTCGGATGGATGAGTCGCACGACGCCTTGGCCGGTGCGCGATTCTTTTCCACCCTCGATTTGCTATCAGGATTCTGGCAGCTTCCTCTGGATGACGAATCAAAACCTAAGACTGCTTTTCGTACACCGCAAGGTCTCTTCCAATTTAACCGCTTGCCGATGGGTTTACATTCTGCGCCGGCAACTTTTCAGCGGTTAATGGAATTGGTCTTGGCAGGTTTGCAATGGGATTCGTGTTTGATTTACTTAGACGATGTCATCGTCTTTAGCAAATCCTTCGAGGAACACCTCCAGAGGTTGCGTGCTGTTTTTCTCAAAATGCGGGCTGCCAATTTGAAATTTAAACCACAGAAGTGCCATTTACTCCGCGAATCGGTGCGATATTTGGGTCACATTGTTGGGCGCTCGGGGATATCCACTGATCCCGCCAAAACGGAATGCGTCAGCTCCTGGCCGACTCCCACCTCTGTGGGAGAGGTCAGGAGTTTCATTGGGTTCGCGTCGTATTATCGGCGATTTGTGACTGACTTCGCTACGATTGCGAAACCATTACATGCCTTGACGTCCAAGGGAGTCAGGTTTCATTGGGGGCCGGAGGAGGAGGCTTCTTTTCGCGCCCTCCGGAATGCTTTGGTGGGGGCTCCGCCGTTGAATTACCTGGATTTTTCACAACCCTTCTTGCTCGATACAGACGCAAGTAACACGGGCATCGGGGGCGTGCTGTCCCAGCTCATTGGGGGCGTAGAGCATGTGGTGGCTTACGGTAGTCGGGTACTGTCTCCAGCCGAACAGCGGTACTGCGTTACCCGTCGGGAATTATTGGCGATTGTTTATTTCATTCAGCAGTACCGCCCGTATCTGTACGGTCGGCGGTTCACCGTCCGTACAGATCATGCGGCCCTACAATACGCCCTGCGGGTTCAACAACCATCGGGCCAGTTGTCTCGATGGTTGGAGATTCTCCAAGACTATGACTTTGTCACCACATATCGTAAGGGTCTCCGCCACACGAACGCTGACGCCCTGTCGCGATTGCCACCCACTTCGGAGTGCGCGTGCCTCTTGGGTTCGGGGCGTTGTAGGTCTCCGAACGTCACCACCGATTCGGTCCTCGTGGCCGCTGCCGATGCGCCTTCGGTTTCGGGTCCTATCGAGCAAGAAGGGAGGGATTCGTTGCTGGGGTTGTCGGTCGCGGAATGGGGTCGCCTCCAAATGGAGGACACCTCCCTCCTCGCTCTGCGCCGTCGCGCCGGGGGGGTTGGCCAGGGGGTGGAAAACGTTGACTCGTGGGGGTTGTTCCAGGGACTTTTAATGCACTGGGATGGTAAAACCCGGCGCCAGCGGCTCGTGGTGCCTGCTGCTTTAAGGGGTAAGGTGGTATGGGCTGTTCATGAGCGGCTTCTGCACTTGGGGGTTCACAAGACCTTTGCCACGCTCCAGCTAGATTTCTTCTGGCCGGGCATGGAAAAGGACGTGGGGGATCTCCTGGGGTCATGCACGCAATGCGCGCAGAGGAAGCCACCTGCTAGGGGGTCCAACCCTCCGCTGCAGTCCATAAAAGTTTCCCGGGTTAACGAGCTCGTCGCTCTGGACATACTTGGCCCATTTCCCGCTACACCCAGGGGCAATAGGTATTTACTAACGGGGGTTGAATACTTCACGAGATGGCCTATGGCCTGGCCCCTGGCGAACCAGTCGGCAGCAGCCATCGCGGAGGCCTTTGTCCAGGGCTATGTCCTCGACAAGGGTGCTCCGGAACGGCTGCTTACTGACCAGGGTAGGAATTTTTCTGGTAAACTCCTACGTGAGGTGTGCGACCTCTTGGGTACGGAGAAGGTTCGGACCTCTCCGTATCACCCACAAACTGACGGGATGGTGGAACGGCTGCATCGGACCATCACGTCCATGCTGTCCCAGCAGGTGTCGGTATCCCAGACGGATTGGGACCTCCGCATAGCCGGTGTGTTGCAGGCCTACAGAATGGCTCCCCATGCGGCCACCGGATTTTCCCCTTTCTTTTTAATGTATGGGCGCGAAGTTAACCCCCCTGTGGCGACCCAGCTGAAGCTCTCGGCGCCCCAGGCGAAGTCTAATTTGTCCGAACACGTTAAATTTAACATCGCTCAATTGTCTGAGGCGCGGGAAGCGGCCGTGCAAAATTCTGAACTCCGCCAGAAGGCGAACGAGAGGCTTCGGTTGGGGCGGGTGCAGGTGGTCAAATGGAAACCAGGGGACAGGGCGTGGTTGCACTGTCCCCAGGTGCCGCTGGCAACCTCGTCAAAATTGGTACGGCCGTGGCGGGGGCCAGTGGAGGTCGTACAGGTCTTGCGGCCGCAATGTGTTCGCGTCAAATGGGGGAGGCGCCGGTGGTATGTGCACCCCTCAAGGTTGAAACCATTCATCGCGCCGCCCCGTGGTTCACACACACACATGCATGGCCAAACGTGTGAGGGTTCCGCCGACTCCCCGACGTCGCTGCACTCGCCTAACCCGACATCAACTGTTCCGTCCCCAGGCGCAACAGGAGTGACGGGTCCACACCCACCAACCCCTCCCGGAGGGGTCGGGGGTCACTCGGCAGCGACGCCTGACTCTCTTGCACCCGGACCGTCAACAACCGTCACTGAGCGTGCCAGGACGGGCCCTTGTGACGGGCCCGCCGCGAGAACGCGCGCCAAAACGCGCAGACTATTGTGAGGTCGGCCGTTGGGGGGCCTTGCGGACAATGGGAGGGGTGGCGTCCGGAGTGTGTGTATATATGTTGGTTTTGGGGTATTTATTCGGGGGGGGTGCGTCGGGTTATTTTTTTTCTCTCTCTCTCTCTCTTCCTGTTGTTGTTCTTGTTAAGGTTCTCTTGTTCTTGTTAAAAATTACGCGAGGCACACACACGGGGTTTTCGTGAGGGATGCACCTTTATTCTGATTTTTTTTTGCAGCCAGGGATGGCTGCGAGCTGTACAGGGGGGGGGTGATGTAGAGGTGTAATTGCGCATGGCTACGAATGTTGAGGTGTGATTATGCATGGCCACGGATGGCCAACAAACACAAGGGGCGGGGTTACGGCCGTACACAAGGGTGGCGCTCGCACCGACGTCCGCATGTGTATCCCCCACGGGCCCCCCCTCGGGGGCGAGTCCTATAAAAGGTGATGAGCTCGAGGGCTCGAGGTCGGGACTCAGCTTTAACCAGAGAAGACGGAAGACCAGCTAGTGTAGGCCCCAGAGCTCCCCTGGCTCGCTGTCCTTATAAGGGCCGACCAGGGCAAGCCGGTGGCGTGGCCCCGAGAGCCCAGACGAAGCTGGTCTGGTGACTCAGGGAGCCGGGATCCCAGCTTAACCAAGCTGGGACAGATAGCCTCCCCTAGTCCCGTAGTGGAGGAATTGGTATAGGTTAGAGGGGTTAGCTGTCGAGAATCCCTGTAGCCAAGTGACCTGTAATAAATGTGTTGGTGTAATAAATAAGTGTGCCTCCGATCCTGTCGTCAAGCCTCCATATATACTTACTACACAGATGTAGAAAAGCGTTGGGGGAATTAAACGAAAAGGAAAGTGAGATACAAAAAAGACTCTCAACTTGACGGATACACCGCATTAGCAATGATACATTTAAATAATGGGAAATATTTTACATGATCGTGAACAATACATGTAAGTGTCATGTATAAAAACTTTGCATTTTAATCATTTCTACGTTAATTTATCTGGGAAAACATACCGACCTGACTGAGAAGATTATCGAGTTGTGCCTAAGTGCATCCAATGGTTGATTTATGTACAGACGTTGGTAGAATAGAGAATGTCTTTGTCTCAGGGCTCTACGGGGTAATTCCCTGGTCTCTGTCAGTTGCCAGTCACAATATGCCTGTCCTTTAAACACGGAGGCCACGTGTAATGCAAATGCTGCTTGAGTGAGCTCACTCGTGATGACCAAGGTTAAAAATAAAAATAAGTTATGGCTCGTTCATTAATGTACTTAAATAATGCCGTGTAGCCCGGGAGAGAACATGTATATAACGTCTAGCAAAAAAATTAAAACACTTTTGGCCCTGACAGTGTATTGGCTTGAGCCATCAAACTGCACGTGCACAAATAGAGCAGATATTTTGTTCATAGTGCATCGGCAGTGGCGCCCAAAGCACAAATAGCAAACAACGCAACACATTTGTCAATAACACTGTGGCCGTCAACATTTAAAATCAAGTGTATAGGCGATATATACAACCCAAAGCATGTCGTATGAAGCGATGTCTCCAACTCTTATGCACTCCACCTCTCTGGTCCGCTATGTGTGCTGTGAAGGAGGGCAAATGCCCCAAACATCGCCCGTCATAGCCCTTTTTCTTTTTCAGGCTATGGTGCTGTTGACGAATGCGTGTTTTTGTTGTTATTACGTGTGCGAATATGCTCAGCTTTGAAAACAAACGTAGGGAGAGCGTGGCGGTTACCTGCCATGGCACCGGTGTAGCTTAGCGTGGCTCATGCGCGGTGAAACAGCGGTGCAGGAAAAGCTCGCAGCTTCCTCTTCAAGCGTTTTTTTTTTTGTTGCTTTAAAAATATGCCTCCTTGGAACACTGATGCCCTGTTCGTAATGCCCCAAAAATGTGGCAGCCTTCATAAAGCTCTATATTAATTAAAACAATGCGTTGCATTGACCATTTTTTGGACTCGTACACATTGCCAGCAGGCACATTGTGTGCTTGCCAAGAAATATTCCTTTTAGACATCTCCGCTGCGGGTGAAATCTTGGCGGGACTATCTCTCTCATGATCCAGCATCACAACAAGATATCTGCCCATTGTGTTGGCTGAATATGGTCTAAATTCTGGATCTAAGTGATGGCGCCAAAGGTGGTGGCGATTATTATGTTCATGGTAGTGATGGTGATAATATAATACAGAAATGACATTATTGATCATCATCTTCATCTGTCGTCACGATGGTTACGAGCATCTGGCGGAGGGTAGAAAGCTCTGGTTAGGCCTGGTACCATTGTTGCTTTGGCCACGATGGCATATTTTGATCTTGATCTTGACCAGCATCAGCACCATGAGCGTGTTTGCTGTCAAAGTTATCTGTTATCCAGCCAGATGCCACTGCGGCAGAGTGCTTGCCTCGGGGGAGCGGGGCTGGGTCCTTAACTCCGTCCATCATCCATCGAGGGTCAATACACTCCATACCAATTTGTGAGACTCCACTAGTGGCTGCCATGTATAGAAACCGAGCCCGTAGCATATTATCGTAGAATATCCACTGCTGGATGGCAATAATGGCCTCGAAGAGAAATGAACACTGCCTCACCCCTCCGCAGTGCAGCGAGAGAGCCGGACTCAACTCCAGTCGCTTATGGCCCCGTGCATTGTACCTTTGCGCCATTACCGATGACTCTGTGCGTGTGTGTGTCTCTTGTAGCCAGAGCCGGCGGCGGCGGCGTTAGCGCTGCCACGAGACATTCGATCACCCCCCCCCCCCTGCGCCTGTCGTACCCCCCCCCTCCCCCCGTGCACGAGCATTGCGGCCACGTTAGGAAGCAGCCACCATGTGGTTTGCGTTTTTCTTTTTGGCCAGGGGACGGTTCTTTGCTAAACAAACAGACGATGAGATTAGTTTGTTGGTGATTGGTGTGTGAATGGGCATGCTTTTTTGTGTCTGGTGTTTGCATGTGTGTGGAGAGGTGATAAGCGCATGTTGCCGCTGTCCTTGAGACCAAGGTTTGTGTGATGTTTCACAGACGTGTAACGATGCATGGATTCGATTTAAATTGATTCTCACAATCATGATACAATGATCAAATTGCGTGTGAGAGCTTTGATTCTTTTAAATTCGTATATGTTGTATTTAATTGGCTCATCGTAAACTCTGCAACCACTAGAAGTGATACATTTACCAAAATAACAACACTGTTTTACAGAAACCGTGACCCCCAAATTGTGAACATTTCATAGAATTGCCAGGAAGGGGATCATTGAATGCCCGATAGTAAATGCAATACCGTACATTACAATCTCAGTGACTCGGGTCTGATTCTATTGCTGGTCAGAAACTGACTTTTGCCTCCACTATGTTGACTTAGACTAAAATGAGGTCCATCCCTGATGAGAAGACAACACGACGGACACCGCACTCGCCCACCTCTCGTCTCGCAGATCATGACGTTGCTGAACGCGCTCTCTCCCGCCGTGCTAAACCACTGGATCTTGATGTCGTACGACGTCTTCGGCTGAAGTCCGCTCAGCACGTGCCAGTCTCTGCTCCCTGGGGTGAAACGGCGAACGTGGATCAATTCGACCAACGCGTGACGCGTGACTCACGCGGCACGCCACGTGTCAATCAGCTACGGCATGACATATCTTCACGCTCCTGTAACGTGATTGTACTATGAGCATCTCGATGGCGAGATGCTAGCGACCTCACCTGGTATAGAGGAGGTCGTGAGTTCGATCCCGACCCTGACGCCGACATATTTGGAGTTTGCATGTTCTCCCCATGGTTGCGTGGATCATTCTCCAGGTCCTCGGGTTTTTCCCCTCGACATTTGGAAACATGCATTTAGAGTATTTGGCTGCTGTAAATGTCCACATGATAAACCACTTCGTTGAGCCATCATTTGAGGTCAGGTCGCTGGCCACTTCGTTGAGCTATGTAGCTCAATGGGCCTTACCTGATAAAATGTTAAGTTTGGTTTAGTCTTTGTTTCGGAATGAAAGTTACAGGGGACTTGTTCTCTTGAACAGTGAATTATGTTCGTGCAGTATTCGCTACGTCTTCTGTAGACGTGTTTCGTTTGCTCTGATTTGCACGTGCTTCGTTGCTGTACTTTATATTGCAAATGGGTCTATGCTTGGTCTCTTGAGCTCTAACCTGGTTAAAGAAATGAATCTGAATTCTAGTGCAAGCTAGACAAAGACATAAAGACAAAGATCCCCAAAATGGCCTTAACAGATTGTAGGGGCAAGTGCTGCTAGCGAGTAGCATCTATGAAGGCCGGCACGGCACACGAGGGGGTGGGTGGCCAGCACCACTCCCAACCGCCTTTTTCTCCCCAGTGGCGATATTTACACACCGCACCAGGTACTCATTTGAGGCCGAGTTGACCTCGGGGAGGCCCAGGACCGGTTCAGATAATTGTCACTGGTGTTGGCCGTGAGCAGAAATTGAACCCGTATCGCTGGGTTCATCGTGCAGCGCGCTAACCGCTGCACCACCGCTCCCCACAGTGCAAGCTCGGACAACATACACAAACAGAAATCTGAAAGACATTACAGTCATTTCTCAAATGACTGTGGCAAGTACCCACAATGCACACGTCATACAACTCAGACCGTTATACTAATGCATGTGCTCTCTTTACAACGCTTTCTAGAAATTATGAGAAAACCCATGCCAACAAAATGGGACGGCCACATTTCACATTCGAGTTGGCGATCTAAACAACTGTACGGCCCCACCACGTTAAGCTCTCTTGAGCTGGCAGCCTCGACAAGGCTGACAGCGGCGGTCACATGACACGCGTGCACGGCAAGACGGGAAAGCCGCACCTTCTGACTGCTTACGAGCGGCGCGCATTTGTGCGCTGTTTTTTTACTGCGAATTTGCGTCGAACCTGAGGCCACTAAACCGAGGAAGGCTGCGTCTGTAGCTGGAACGGTGTTCACCTGCGTACAACTTGCACAGCGCGAGGGCCGCTCACACGTGACGTCCCTCAAACTCTAAACATCCCGCAGAGCTCTAAGCCGATGTGACGGCGGTGGCTCGTGCCGGGTGCCGCCGAGGCGCTCACCGTGCAGGATCTTCTTGTGGTAGTCTTCTTCGTTGTCGCAGTCGGTGGGGCGGTAGTAGACGGTCACCTTCTGCACGGGCTGCGCCGGAGCTGCGGCAGACGGAAACTGCGCACGACGAGCGCGCGGGGTGGGGGGGGGGGTCACGACCATCAGCGTGATCATCCTCGTCGTCGTCGGCATTGTGACGTGTCAGCGCCATAATCACCACCATTACTACCAGTTTTTCAATCATCCTCGCACCACTCTCATCATCATGAATCGCACCTCCGATTATCACGGTTGGCTACGTACGGTGCGAAAGACGTTCAACACACACACACAACATTCTACTTGAGAATTATTGCTCCGTCTCCCGGCACGACAGTGAGAAACAAATCGAGCAAGTTTCTAAAATTCCCCCAACCTGCTTCTGTCCTCCCAGCAGTTTAAACAGGGAACCCCACAGTTAGACGATCAGCAAGTACCAAGTGGTGGGGGTAAAGTGTGCGTACTCCAACACTCTTCCGAGACATCTGGTCGGCGTGAAAGAGGAGACCAAACACAGCGGAGGCGAGAGCAAGTGACTGCGCAGCCGCACACCTTTGACTTGACTCCACGCTGCTCTGATGAGCTTGGGGCATTTCTGGTGAACCAGCACATCTTGGTTGGATTTAAACATTCCTATGGTGGGTGCCAGTCATTGCACATGACAACTGGCATCCCACGAATGAGGCACTCATTTCACCGTCTTTCCCAGACAGGGATGTGAACCTGCCGCAAACCACTGACACGAGACGGTTGTTACGACCAAGTACTACCGCGCTCTCCGGCATCATCGTTATCATCGTCGTCATCGATCGTTGAAATAGTTACGTACGGTCCAGCTGATGCGAATGGACGTGTCGCTCACGGCCTTCGTGGCGGAGATGTGGGGGGCGGCGAGCATTCGCTGGGAGGCGGACGCCCCCCCGGGGGAGCCCGAGAGATAGAACGGCGTGGAGGGGACGCTCCAGGGGCTCTCGCCGTGCGCGTTCAGCGCCGCCACGCGGAAGCAGTACGCCCAGCCTGGGAGCGTCAAGGAAGCGAGCACGAATCGGCGACGGTCACAAGCTGCGCGACAATTTATGTCGAGGTTTTTTTGTTTGTTTTGCTCGTTGTCTATAGGAGGTAAAGTGGGAAAAAAATGTTTTGCAAAGATTGCGGACCCTGAAATGTGCCGAATCGCGCCAACGCTGGCGGAAGGGCCTTCGCCAGAGCGAACTACAACGGAGAGTTTTTGGGGCCTACTCCGCCACGTCGACTAGACTCGTGTTGAAAGGAGATGGGCATAAGCCACACTACTTTATTCCGCCACACGCGACCCGCCGATCGACCGACTGTGGTGTAGCCATTTATACTGCGGGGCGGGCAGAGGTGAGGGTGGGGGGAGGGTGGGGGGCATTAAGAAATGCGAGGATGAACCGGTCACCTCTGGATTGCAGGCCCAGTGTGCCAACCATTACAACGTGGCAGCGCCATCATCCCCACATGCACGAATAGCTCGTAAACAATCAGCTGTCTGACAATTGGTGCCAGATCAGGACGGAAGGACGGTGGGAGGGGGGGGTGGAGGCAATTGCCACCCCCTTGACAGCCAAACAATTGGTATTTGATCAATATTCATAAATCAGAGCGAACTCCGGTCATCCTTGCAATGGCTTTTGGCAAGCCATCGAACAAAGACGGTCATCGCATTTTAGGTGCACTTCAGCGGTCCTCTGGAATGCTCTTCATTCCGATATTAGGATGCCACTGGAGCTATGCACTTCTAGATCTAGATTGAAAACGTTTTTTTTTAGAACTGCTTTTTGTGTTTAGTTTGCCGTCCTTCCCCCGCACCTCCGATTAGCACAGTTGTCTGCACACGGTGCGAAAGTAGCTCAACATGAACACATACAATATTTTAATAAAATACATATATTTATGTTTTAACATAGCCGGCCCCACCGCGCCCCACGATCCGCGTCCGATGACGACGGTCGACTGCCTCACCGGCAGCGAGGCCGTCGATCTGCACTGCGAGCTTGGCGGGCGGGATGCCGGACGCGGCCTCCTTCCACTTGCCGGCGCCACGGCCCACGCGCCGGCACTCGACGCGGAACGCGCTGACGGGGGAGCCGCCCGTGCCGCGCGGCATCCACGACACGAAGACCGCACCGCTGGCGCCGGAGCGCACGCTCACCGCCCACGGGGCCTCGGGGACTGCGGGGACAGGGGGGGAGGATGAGGAGTAGGAGCATGAGGATGTGGAGGATGAGGATCAGAAGGTTGAGGAAGATGAGGATGATGATGAACATGAGAAGGAGAAGGATGAGTAGCAGGGTGAAGATGTTGATGATTAAGAGGAGGAATGTATGAGGAGGAAAATCAAGAAATGGAAGAGATGGCGTTACGAGTAAAAGTGGCGCAGAGAAGAGGAGGACAAGGAGAAAGAGTAGGTTGGTTGTTTTCAAGCAATCCTCTAACGTAGGTAAGCCAATCACTGCTCATGTGTTCTCTGTCTGGCCGTTTAAAGCTGTGACACGGATCTCAGAGATGCGTTAAGGGTTAAAGCGTTTACGAATCAATCAGGGGGCGGCTGGCGGGCCCAGTAAAAAAGACGTGTGCCGTTTTTATAGACCCGGGCAACATTAACAGCTCGACTTGCGAGCTGCGGGTGATGTTCGACGCGACGTCCCAACGCACTCTCCAGTAGAGAGACACAGAGAGAGAGCGCGACACGAGCCAGGCCAGAGGAGAGATACTTCCGCTCTGGGAGAATCGGCACCGTCGGGACATTGCTTCACGATCCTCGCATTTCCACGGCAGGGTCATGTTGTTTTTATTTTCATATAAATGCCAAATCGTTCGCGGCGCGTAAAATAAAGGCCAAGAGTGTGGAAAAATTAGCAGTCAGCAGATCTGATAAACTTTTATTTGCAGCTGAGCGAGACTTGCTGTGACCCCAACAGCTTTTATTAGCATCCTCTTTGTAAAGGGGGACTCGGAATGCAGATCACTTATCACGGCGGCCAAGGGGCGGGGGGGTAAAGAAGTGGGGAGGGGGTGTTTCCCCTGCCCACGGCCTTCACACATTGGCAAGTGTCAAACCCTGACCCCCCTCTTATCCAATGATAAACTCCCGCAGTTCATACAATAAAGCTTTGTGAAACACGCTGACTGACACAGTGACAATAACACAACGGGGCTACGATCACGCAGGGCGGCCACAATGCGCGGCGGAGCCGTGCCCCTCCGCCCACCCCCCCCCCCGTGAATGGGAGCCGATGGCGACGACCGCTCTTGGACCGGCGTTGCAACGACGAAGCGAAGCGCCCGCAGCGTAGCGAGCGGCTATCGCCGCCACTCGGCAGACTCGCGTCGTGCCGCGGTGGCGAGATGTCGACTACCTCACCCGGTATGCAGGGGGTCGTGGGTTCGATCCCGACTGACGCCTGCTGCTGTATATTTGGAGTTTGCGTGTCTCTCTCTCTCTCTCTCGCCGTGGTCGCGGGGATTTTTTTCCTGGTGCTCCGGTATTTCCCTCCGCATTTCGAATCAACATGCGTTTTGAGTATTTGGCCGCAAAAAATGTCCATGTGACAAGCCAATTCGTTGTGCTATCATTACATGCCGCCAGGTCGCTTCCGAAAAGAGCTATCCAACTCGGCCAGCTTTACCTGGTAGAAAAAAAATAGTTTCGTTCGCAGTTTCAAAATGCACATCCTAAATACACGTCCGGCCCAGGTGCCGCTTCGGCTCGAGCACTCGTTGCACAGCAGCCGGGTGAGTGAGGAGTTCTCATGCAGGTTGGGGCCTCGTCGCAGCCCATCGTTTTTCCAGGGCCGATAAAGCGACCACAACTTTGTGATAAATCCACGGTGGCCGTGCGCTCATCGCCATGGGAATTGGGATTTCCATTGCTGGGTAAGAGCTCGGAGAGAGACACCAACATTTTGCATGTGTTCACAAATGACACACGCGTAAAGTCACGCAGTTATTTTATAGGTCAAAACAAATCCCACCGCTGCATTAAATGTCGGCCAAAAATCTTCATTCAACGTCAGCTAGAAAGTTAGTGACACGGCAATGACGACGACAACACCAAAAAACACGCTGACAAGTTGAAAAGATGGAGAACAAATACGGTCAGCATCCGTACTTTCCTTTAAAAAAATAACAACAACAGTCCACGAAACTACCGACCATTTCCAACAAAAATATTGTTCTGTTTTCACACAGCGGTGACCAGGAGGGCTGCCCAAGCGGTTTGCAAAAGCCGCTGCCAGCCAACGCCGGAGCGAGCCACCGCCCCCCCGCCCTATTTTCAGCCGCGTCTGTTGGGGAAAGCTAATTACAGATAATTGCTGGAATCGATCAGCAGCACCGGGGAAGGTGGGAGAGAGCCACTGAATGGGGCTTTTGAGCTCCGTCTCGCCCCACACACAGGCTCATTGTGAACGCGGGAGCTTGGGTGGGTGGGGGGGGGCAGCCTCCACCTCCCCGACCAGCCCGGCAGCAAACCCCAGCTCGGCCCTCACTCCTGCTTCAACTACCTCAACCGCGCGAAGATGCCACACAGGGAGAGCGACCTGCGAGCGGCGACTGAGTTGAGAGGAGAAGTCCGCCAAGCCGCGGGGAAATGTGCGCGCGTGCGGTTCCGTCGATTTTTCTTGTTCGTTTCAGTGTCAGTGCCAAAACACCAGCGCTGGTGGCTTCCAAAATTCACATTCAGCCGTAGCCACACAAGTCAAGGCAACTCCCCGACCCAAACAAATATTGCCTGCTCACCATATTTGTCTCTCCACGTAATTGTTTTTTTTTTACACAACCCATCGCTACACAGTCTCGCTGGGCGTGCATCTTGCCGGCAGCATTGATTCGGCTCACGTGGTGATCGGCTCTGCCGGTCCTGCTCTACAGCCAATGGGGGGAGAGCCTGGGAGCATGGCCCTGGCGGGATCGAGGGATGTCAACTAGGGTGATTGGTTCTGCTGGTCTTGGCCTCAGCCAATGGGAAGACAAGTCAGGGGCGTGTTCCCGGGAGTTGATGGGGAATCTGGAACATTCAGCGCAGGCTATTAAGGATTGGCTGGAGCGTATCACGTGACCCAGGCATTAAATAAGGGGAGAGCCGAGGGACACGGGGTTATGTTGTATCTATACGACATATACAACAGTCAGAGTGCCACGTGGCGGTGCGTCTCTTGTGATCGGTCTGCCCACTCCCCGTAGCCTGCCAGCAACGGGGAGTGCTTGTGAACTGAGATAAGTAAATAAAAGGACCGATTCCACAAGCCGTCTCCAAGAGTATTATTACACTTGGATCAATGCTGGCGAAGGGCCAGATCAAGAGATTGCGGGATGATGTTTCCCTCTGTTGGTGGCCCTGAGCTGTTAGTATAAATTCCACATTCCTACGGCGTGGGAGATCCCTTTAATGACAGCAGATAACAGGTCACATCTATTTTTGCGGATTTTTTTTTTACCTTGTTTATTTAAGATAACATTCAATATCAAATCAATGTTTAAGCCTCGTAACATTGGAAGAGTATTCACTCGTCAAATGTAATTGTAAATACCATTACTGAAACGTCTTGCTTGCGCAAAACTTCAGTCGCATGGAATATGAATGTATGTGTATATACACAGTACTGACAAACACCTACACACACAATGCGCATGTACAAAGACTGACGTTCCATTGTATTTAACGCGCAGACTTATTTCTGGCATTGCACTCATGAGATCCGATCCACAATCGTCAATTACGAATCACTCCAGTTTACTTTCACCATATACGCTTGAGGGAAAGCCGTGTTGAACGATCCACTGCCGAGGACGTGCCAACACACACGGGGCTGTGGCAAGGAGCGGCACAAGACGCCAAGCTACCCGAGTCTCCCTGGAGCCAATGTTTGACTCGCTGCACTGGCTACCGATTCTAGGCAAATGAAGCCTCAGGCCTGGTACAATTTGGGAACTTGACGTTTAGATTGTCAACCTTTGCCCCCTACACATCACGCTGCGAAGAGCATGGAGACAGCCACCTGTGAATGTTACACCGAATACAAGAAGTAGTTTTCGGCACTGTGCACCATCAATATAAAAATGCATGCTTCATTGTCCCCTGTGTGCGCACAGATATAAAAACTCACGTGCTGTTTGAACATCATCCAGCACCCCCTAATTGCTAATTCCACCGCGATTCCACCAAGATAAGTCACTGAACAGCTGCTGCTATTGTGTGCGCGGGCGGGCGGGAGGGTGGATGGATGTGTGGGGGAGCACGGCATCGGTGCAAAGTGAGTTGGCTGAATTCTAAACGGGTGTTTTTTTTAAGCAAAGGAGACCGTCCGCGTCTCTACTCGTGACGTTACGATCGGACCAAATGTGCAAAGAAATGACAAAGGCAGAGCACTACTCAAACTCAAAAACATGCTGTAGTTTTAAGATTCGTGGAGATGTCTAGAAGTTAATTCATATGTCTACGAATGTCTATTAAACAAGATATATTTATGTGTATTTATAAACAAACAAAAAACGCTCGGTGGCACAGCGGTAAATCGAGCAGCTCGCAATTGGAAGGTTGAAAGTTCAAATCCTGGTTTGGGGGTTGACTTAGTCCATCACTCCTCCGGGTCGATAAAACGAGAACTATTTTGTGGGGATGCTGACAGTGGTTATCTTTGGTGGCGGGGGCCGCCGTAGGAATCAAAAGTTTCCACTACCGGCTCAGGAAAATAGCAGTTGAGCGCTCTCTTTTATATCTGTAGGACTAGAGTCATGGCGCGCCACGCATTCTCTTCCACTGTTGCTATGCCAGCGAGCAGAGTACAGTGGGGGGTATGCGAGGACACGGTTGTTGTTGTGGCATTAGGTGAGAGGGTCGTTAAGTGTTGAGACAGGTGTTCGGGGTCGCTGGGGGGACACAGGCCAGCGATTGGCTAAGAGGGTAATTGGTTATTAGCTGGCGTCGCTCTGGCGGCAATAACAAGGTCACGTGAGACCGGGGGCCAGGGGGCGAGTAATAAGCGGAGGGTTGAGATAATTAATGGGGATTAATTGGTGTGGGGATATAAGCCACAGCGCTATGGAGAGAGGGGCTTCTTGTCTTGGTCGGCGTCTTGGATGGAGCTGCAGCGACGGTGCCCGGGGAATCGCAGAGCAGGCGGTGACGGTAGTAGAGCAGAGAAAGAGTGGGTTAGCGGCGACAGACGGAGTAG